GTATTCTGCTTTTCTGTATAATGTATTGCTGTGGTTTGTAGTCCTCTATCGCTATAGGTGATTATTTACACAGCCCTGGTGTTTGCTGAAATTGAAAAGCTTTTGAGAGTTTTCCTCTCTTTCTCAAGTCTGAAGCAATAGCTGAGGAATAAAGAAAAACTCTTGAAAGCTTGTCTTCTAAGTATTAGGTTAGTACAATAAAAAGGTATCACCGCATACCGCATTACCCTCGTATTTTTTAATCTTATTTATATGTACTTCTTTAGTTTTTTTCAGTGGTATGATTTAGTGGTGACAATTATTAGTGCCCCCCCCCCCCCATTTTGACTGTGGTATCTTATGTGCCCCCCCTATATATTGTTCCTAGAGTCGCCACTGGCCATAGGGCATACCGGGCACTTGCCCGGTGGGCCGAGCCGAACACAATCAGCTCAGCCTGATCGTGTTCGGCCAGGCATGGCCGCTATGTCCGATATACATAGTTGATTTAGCTCCTCCCTCTCATTGCGCTTCTCAGAGGCAGAGCAGACAGATGTAAACAAATGTCGGTCCGTCGGAGCAGGCTGATGTATACTGCACTAGTGCCCGACAGACCAATGCTCGTTTACATCTGTCTGCTCTGCCTCTGAGCAGCGCAATGAGAGAGAGGAGCTAATATACAATGGGATCCCGTTTGGGTCTGTCCTATTCAGTGCCTGCACTGGCAGATGGGGTGCTTGCAGGCTAAATTTGAGGCAGGCAGCTTCAGTCACATGCTGTGCACTGCCCAGTAGGACCCCTGGTGTGCAGGAGCAGAACAGACGCGTGCATTGAGTTAGTTTGAGCACCAGTATCGGTAGGAGACGGAGTTGCATGCAGTCTGACTGTGGCCCCCTGACTGACAGCAGCAGCTTGAGAGACACCCTGAGGAGCTTGAGACTGGAGTCATCCCTTCACATTCAAAGTAGGAGTAGCTGTGCGGGGTTAATGGTGGCTCTGCGGCAGCTGTACATAGTTGATGGCAGCTCTGGGGTAGCTGGGCAGAATTAAATGGCGGCTCTGGGTTAGGTGGGCGGGGTTAATGTATCTTTTATCTATCTAAAATAATTGGTCTGTATTCTTAGAAAAATGTCACATGACATAAAAAAAAAAAAAAAAAGGTATCGGCAAGTACTAAAGGTATAGTATCAGTACTTGTATTTGGTCTGTAAAAAGTGGTATCAGTGCATCCCTACTGTGTACCTATAGATTGGAGAGCATGCCTGGCTATTACTTCCTGTATATTTACAAGTGTAATAGACGGTATATTTACAGGGAGTAATAGACGGTATGCTGTGCAATTTACAGGGAAAGGTATATCTGTCTATACCCTGTATACCTATAAATTGCAAAGCATACCGTCTATTAATCACTGACTGGTTCAGTGGACCAAGTCAGGCAAACACTATCAGCCTAATTTTGTTTGGCCTGGCCCACTATGCCTGATGGCCTGCTCTGAGCAGGGCACTGAGAAGGTTCGCTCTTGGATTAGCCACTCCACCATTGCTTGGTGTGGCACGCTGGTTCTGTCCGCTCAGTGCCAGAAACAGCATAGGGAGCATATGGGGTCTTGGCAGGCTCTATTGCAGGCAGCTAAGGATGATGTGTCAAGAAAGAAACATCATCCTGAGTGGGATCTGAGTTACATTGTCTGGCTGCTCTATATCGGACTGGGTGACCATCTACACGGCTCAGCACCAATGCTGTAGTGTAGCCATCCAGGTTGGGGGATGGGGGCAACCGTGCGAGTGCCCTTGGGCAATAGATGAGTTGGCGCCAGCTTGCTGTGCAGAGAACACAGTGGCAGATGCAGGAGGGGCAACGGGGTAATTGAATTTCACCCTCCCACTGCTGCCATAATAATCTGTGGGGCACTGTTATAGAAATAATCTGCTTGGTACTGCTGAGTATTGATGAGCCGAACAGGTCAGAGTTCGGTTTGAATCAAACTTTAGAACATCCAAAAAGTTTGAATTCGAACTCGAACTCAATGCAAGTCTATGGGGGTAGAACTTTCAAAAACAATTGTTCCCTTTAAGAGGGCTTATATGCAAGTTATTGGTCATAAAAAAGGTATGGGGATCCGTGTACTGTCCTGGGGGACAGGAATCAATGAAAAAAAAAGGAGCAGTGGTTTTAACATCACTTAAAGGGTAACAGATTAAAAGAAAAATTCCTTTAAATATCGTGCCTGGGGGGGTCCCCTTAATCTGCCTGTAAAGTGGCAAATCTGTACGATGTATAGAACCTGCTGCAGCAAAACTGACATTTCTAAAGAAAAAAACATGACATTTTTTTTCTTTTAAACCGTGCAGTTCCCCCTCCCAAACAATACCAGACCCTTTAGGTCTGGTAGGATTATTAGGAGGGACCAATTTTTTTTTTAAAAAGTGTGGGGTTCCCCCCAATAGTCATACCAGACCCTTAAGGTCTGGTAGGAATTTTAGGAGGGACCCCATGTAAAAAAAACAAACAAAGAGCATGTGGGGTTCCTCCCAAAAGTCATACCAGGCCCTTAAGGTCTGCTAGGAATTTTAAGGAGGAACCCCACCCCCAAAAATGGGGGGGGGAACATGGGGTCCACCCTAAAATTCCATACCAGACTCTTGATCCGAGCATAGGCCTGGCAGGGCCGGAAAGGGGGGGACGAGCGAGTGCCCCCCCTCCCTCGCAGACCAGGCTGCATGCCCTTGGCACTGGGATGGTGCTTTTCCAGGGTCGCGCCTGGAAAAGCACCTTGTCTCTGTGCTGATGGGGACAAGGGCCTCCTCCCCAGAAGCCCTGGGGCGTTGGTTGTGGGGGTGCGGCCAGGGGGCTTATTCACAGCAGGGTGCCCTTTTAATAAAGAGGCACCCAGATGCTGCCCCCCCTTGTGAATGAGTAAGGGGTACTTGTAAATCTGTAAGTCTAGACTTTTGAAAAAATCCTTTATTTGGAAAAAAAAAACAAAAAGACATGTTTTTGACAAGTCTTTTATTTAACAAACAAAAAAAAAAATTGATCCGCCGATGTAATCCAGGGTCAATCACGACGTCCAGCGTTGTACACGACGACAACGACTCGACGAAATAAAAAATAAAACAATCAAAAATGAATAGAAATAATAATTTTAAAAAACGACAACCGCCATCCATTCACTAGCGACGAACATCCGCTGCATAATGGCATTTTAACAGATGCCGGTAACAACATTTGGGCAGAGCTAGCAGTGACAGCTAGCTCCATCCAACTGTTTACAGTTGTGACAGGTGAGCCATGATTGGGCAGAGTCATCATGACTTTGCCCAATCATGGCTTCACAGTGCCCTGTGCGGGATGGTCCCGGTTCACAGTGCCTTGTGTGGGCCCGCTGAAAACACAAACTGCCGATGTTCGAGTCCAACTCACGTCCAACACTACTGTTGTAATAGTCTGCAAGATTCTATTGTAGTAATAATCTGTTGGTTATTCTGT